TTTACTCGGTGATGCAGATGGATGTCCTCCAGCACCTGATCGCCAAAGAAACGGCGAAGGAGGTGTGGGATACTTTGAAGCTCATGTTCGAAGGACACACCCGCGTCAAGCAAGCTAATCTCCAAACTCTCTTAAGGAACTATGAGACTTTGGTCATGGGCGACGATGAGTCCGTCGACGCGTTCGCTTCACGGGTGGCTACTCTCGTCAATCGGATCCGTGCGCTTGGAAAAAACATCACGGAGGCCTCAGTTGTCCGGCGGTTCTTGCGCGCGGCCCCTCCCAGGTACCTGCAAATTGTCACGGCGATCGAGCAGTGCTTCGATCTCGCGACTCTCTCCATCGACGATCTTGTCGGACGGTACAAAGCTCACGATGAGCGGATGCGGTACAGTCTTGGGGACGGGAGGAACGACGAGCTTGTGATGCTCACAAAGGCGCAGTGGATCGCCCTTGAAAAGCAAGGCAGGTCCAAAAGCAGCAGCAAGAAGAAGGGGAAGCAGCGTTCGGCGAGAAAGAACTTCGCCGACTGGGATGATGACTCAGACAATGAGGCTGCACCACCACCGAGGAGAAAGTTTGACATCAGGAAAGTGAGGTGTTATAACTGTGGACTCCTCGGCCACTTTAAGGCTGACTGCGAGAAAGCACCGAAGCAGAAGGCGCTCATGGCTCAGCAAGGAGATGATGGTAACATGATGTTGATGAGCGAACTCGTGGACGAGGAGGAACCAGACTCACAAGTGTTGACTAAAGAAATTGTCGAGCTTGCGGAAGAAAAAGTTTGCCATCAAAATTATGGTTCGGAAACTCATGTCAAAGCTACAGACGCGGGAAGTGATTTCGAAAGTTATGTTGATGTTACGGGCATAAGTGCTAACTTTGCTGGAGTGGATGCAGCAATTGCCGCGTGTGCTCGGCCATGAAGAAGCAGTCTTTGTGTGACGCGTCCAGAAAAATCGAAGACGTATGTGGCGTCAGAAGTCCACGAAAAGAGGAGCACTGGTGTTGTGTCGCGGTGCAGACCGGATGTGCTGGGAACATGTGTAACCCGCGTGAGTGCAGCGGGCGCTGCGTGTCATCGGCCTGACGGTGTAGTGCCAGCCGCACATGCAAGTAAGAAGTGCCCTTGTGCTGGAGGCATACCAAGCAGTGCAGACGGCAATATCAGCAGTGGCTCAGTACACACAACAGATGGGCTTGGCCCATCAGGAAGCAGTGCTCCACCAGGCAGCAGGCAACAAGATAGCAGTGGTCCAGCAAGCACCAATCCAGTAGAGGAAGGCAGCCCATCACGTGCAGCTGCTGTGGTGGACGGGCTAAGGAACTATGGCATTCCACCACTCACTGAATGTGGTGCTCCACGAGGGCTAGCTAGCTCACGTGGAAGGCAAGTTTTGCCAATTGCAACGTGCAAAGCAAATAGCGAGGTGTCGCTTCTGAATGACAAGCAATGTCGTCTCCGATAGTAATGGAGGAAAGGACACCATCACCTACATCCATACAGCTACAGCCGGTGTTACACCCATATCTGAAGAAAACTTTTCAGACGATTGACCCGGTAAAGATGAAAAGAAGTGGACGACGGTGTCTAGGAAGTGCCGAGGTACCGGCAGAATTTGAGGACGCAAATACGAAGGAGTGTTGGCGTCAGGCTATGGAAGAAGAGTTGAGGTTGATCCAAGACAACAAAACATGAGAGCTTGTGAATCTTCCCAACAATGATAATGTCATAGAGCTCAAGTGGGAATTCAAGATCAAGAGAGATGTCGAAGGAAATTGTGTGAAACACAAAGCAAGGCTAGTAGCCAAAAGATGCATGCAAGAGGAAGGTGTGGACTTCGAAGAAGTGTTCGTTCCCATTGCAAAGATGGAGTCGGTGAGATTACTCATCGCTCTCGCGGCTCAGGAATCATGAAAAGTACATCACATGGATGTAAACTCCTTGTTTTACAATGGGTCAACAGATTCCGGATAAATCACTTTTCAGAGCGATAAATCGGCCCAAGCGATTAATGGTAACAATATGCCCTAATCATATCAGTCACGCCTCGAATAGCGATAAATTGGCGATTTTTTTGAAAAGTACTTATAGCCCATATACAGAATCCAAAGGATTGTAACAATCGGTATGGCCTATGCTTATATACGCTGCACAAATATGTTACTGTGTCAGGGATCTACGCTACCTGCAAAAAAGATGGGAGGAACTAACATTTTTCTTTTTGGACGAAAAACAAACTAAATAGTCAGTCAAATGTGATTATGTGTCAAGTCACAGTATCATATCAACAAGCTTGCAGATACTGAATAGAATCAGATAGTAAGTAAAAAAATGTTGATGTTTAGGGCCTGTTCGGAGACCCGCCGCTCCACGAGGCCACTCCCGGAGCGGGCGGAGTTCCAGTTAAAAATCATGGAGCGCGCATGTGGGTACTTTCCAGATTCCGAAATTTCAGGGAGCAGGTGGTTATCCGAACAAGCCCTCATTTGCAAATATTTCATACATATATGAGTACAAGATAACGAGAAGGTTTGGATGGAATATCGTCAAACAATGAAACTAAGGAACATTTCGGCAATGTTTAAGGTCCTACTCATCTCCTCGATTCACCAATATGCACCCACACCTGATTGTTGAAAGAATAGTCTCAGTCCTCTTTGAACAGCGCATGTCCAATTACCATTCTTCTTACCTCACTATAGTGCCAGCTCCAACCTCAAACAATTTTGCGTCTTTCAGGAAAAGGGCAGTTGGGTACGTATTCATGTCTCCATTGCATTCAAGACAATGGATTGCCTGCCATAGGAAACGTTTAAGATTAATCAGTGGACCAAAAAAGAAGTCGATCTGCAACTCACTATACACTAAACAAGTTACAAATAGTAAATCATTTTCCCCCGAATAGTCGGGGGGTTCATCCCCTCCTGGCATCACAGCAGATAAGGAAGAAGAGATAAATAAAAAAAACTGAAAACACATACAGCAAGGGAGAAACAAAGGGGTCATTCCAAGAAGCCTCGGAGACAGCTGCCTGACGAGAAAAAACCCGTCATGGCCCAAGCACAACTACTACCCAGAGGAGCCAACAGAATATGACAACGGGAAACAAGTCACAGAAAGGAGCACCACCAGCGTAATCGAAAGACATCGGTGAACGGTGAACCAAGATCAAACCACGACACTGCACCGCCGACATAATCAAACAGTGACGTGCATCCGAGATTGCACTACGCCGCAACATCACCTGTGTCGCAGGATGCGGTTGAAAGGCCACGCGACAGCACCTGTGTACCACCTACGTAATCGAAGGGCATCACCGAGCAGAGACCCACCATAGAGTGCTCGCTCCCACACGTATGGGTTGCTGGCGAAGTCGAACCATAGCACCACGGAGGCCACATCACCGATCCCACCTGGGTTAGGTGTACCAGAAGGGCAGGCTAACCGAGAACACGCCAGAGACTACCCATGTCAGGCCCGTCACAAAGCTGTAACAAAAATTGGATGAGGCAAGAAACAAGCAAGGAGCGCCACCACCACATCTGCCACAGCTCACCCAGCATCGGGAGGTTGCCACCACCATGGCTACCATCTGCAGATCCATGGAACTCTCCAGGATGGCCGAAACAGTGTCCTCCACCGTTGGTAGCAAGATGGACAGGGCTCAACACCCAGCCACGACGGCCCACCATGTAGGGAGCGCGTCACCACAATTGGCCGCTGTCTGCGAAGCCGTGGAGAAAGCTGACCCTAGGGGCATACCCTGACTGAGCAGAAAAGGTGGGGACACCTCGTGACCACCAGAGGGAGGAGGAGAGCCCCATGAGTCGATCAAGGGCAGCCTCCGCTAACTCCAGTCGTGCCAGCCGGCAACGCCACCTCCCGTCCCACAGCGACACCACTTTGCT